CCTGTTTCGCATTTCTATCTGACATTTACTGAATAATAGAGCGTTATTAGCATCATATTAGTTTTTCTTTGGCCTTTTTATCTATAAGTCTAAAATTAATCACAAAATAATTTATTATAACATCAAACTTCTAAAGGCTCTCCAAGTATGTTTATTTAGGTCTATTCTATCTTCTAAGCGCACTTAGCATATGAGCGGGTCTGTTACAGGCCATTGGAAATAGCTTGTCCTTCACTCCGTGAAGCTATGAATAGCTGACCTGTTCGTTTTTATTTGAGTGTACTGTGTTAATGTTAATATTTTCCATTTTTTGAAGCTGATACTGTTTATCTACCAAGATTAAATAGAGATTGAATAATCCTAGAATGCCCTTTATTCGTTTGGAATACTAAAATTGGCCTTCTTTGGTGTGAGTTTGATGGCAAGATTTTTTTCACATACCTTTATGTTTATGAAATTATTAAGACTGAAAGAAATTCAATTATCCTAATGAACTTCCTCTCATGTTTAAGAAGGAGAACTCTTGTTTAACTGACCTGTCCATCTAGATCTCGGGCCAAGCGCAAGTCCACCGATACTTCTATCCGATGCCTGACCGTCTCAAAACGCATGCGCCGCAGCCTTACGGGTAGCAACTCCTCATCTGCTAGTGCTGGTCTCTCTGGAATTTCCGATCTTGCAGGAAGCTGTTGTCAGACCGCTGGGGGCCTGGGTCCGACCAGCTTGTCGGTACACCAGGCCCAATTGGCAGCTAGTTGTTGTGGCCAGGTACGATCTGCAATAATGGCTGGTGCACTAGGTGGACCCATCGTGCACGCCCTTCTATCTTCTTCCCTCATCAGTATGCTGGCTGCTCTTCGTGTAACACTTACACAGGCTCTAGGTACTTCTGCTACACCTGTCACTGGTGGTAGTGGACCTGGTAGTTCTCTCGGTGTCGATCCAGGCAATGGCCTCCCTTCTGGCTCAGCTTCAAACCTATCTGGTCATGGTGCCAGCAGTGGCAATGGTATGATCGCTGCTGCTGCAGCTGCGGCCGCTGCTGGCGGTGGTTTTCAGAACCTATCTCCTTCGCGTCTGCTTGCCGCAATGCCTCACGTTCTCGCGCTGGCGCGCATTAACCCACCCCCTGGACTAGCACTTGCCCCACTTCACCAGCCTCAGCTCTCTTCTGCTGTCGTACTTCAACATCAGAACCCTTTGCATTCACATGCTAGACAACACATTGCCCTCCCTCATATAGTCGGTTAGTCTATATTTATTTGTATAACTATATTTCAAATAATTCCTCATATGTACGTTTCGTTTTAGAATAGGAGGTTAGGCTAAATTGTCTAATTAGTTCCTCTATGCTTATTAATCACTAAGTTAAAATGTATACAGTTTCAGTGGTGCCAGTATTTCTTAGGCCGAATATAATGTTAGGATAAAAAGACTGGCTCTTATTCACATTTGAGCAAACTAGATGAATAGAAGTCATTTTCTCATTCGCCTCAGATGTATTTTTTTTTAAATATTAGCTAATAAATATACAATACAAGTTTATCGTTCTGTTATGGAAGCATCAAATTTTGGCTGCAACTTTGCCTGAAGATAGACTTGCTTTATTAAAATGATACCTAGGAATGTTCAATTACATTGTGCAGCTTGTGGTATAATTTACCTTAGCTTGGCATTGCCTATTTAAATATTAATTTTTGTTACAGCTTTGCAGACTGGAGTCATAAATAGCGATATAGTGCAGAATCGGAATGTGAATGTTGTTAAATTAGGGTTTTTAACTACTGAAAGGCATAAATGAATTTGCTTTGCTGACATATTCTTAATTATTCAGATGAATTTAGTCTATCATACTGTTCTGTAAATCCAAACACATTCAGGACCTGGGATGTAGGTTCGTGAATATTATCTATCAC